AGCTGGATATATATATAAGATATAAAGGAGCTGGATATATATATAAGGTATAAAGGAGCTGGATATATATATAAGATATAAAGGAGCTGGAGAGATGGCTCAGTGCTTAAGAGCACTAGCAGCTCTTGCAAAGGAGCCAGCTTAGATTCCAAGAACCCACACAGCAGCTTACAGCTGTCTGTAATTTCAGTTCCAGGGGATCCAACACCCTCTTCTGAACTCCTAAGACAATTTATACATGTGGTGAACAGACAAAAACACGCAAGCAAAACACTCATAAATGTAAAACAATGCTTAAGAAAAAAGATACAAAGAAAGTGTTGAATGATGATGTAGGTAACCACTGACTAGTCAGTACTTAAAACTCTTTTTGGATAAAAGAAAAAGAATCAAAAATAACGGTCAGAAGTTATGAGTTACGTCAACTGACCATAATTTCTTGGTTTCCAAATTACTAAATAGAAATGCACTAAAAATTATGTCAAATCCAGAATCTGAGTCTGAATTAGCCACTCTCCTATAAAGACACATCTCTATTAATATAAACTTGGATAAATTGGTCAAGTACACAAGAAAAGGTCTGAATAACTAAAGTTTCTAGCTAGTAGAGAGCAGGTAAAAATTTGCAAATGCCTGCTTTCCATACTTCAACTGGACTGAGAAAACAAATGCGAAATCAACCAACTTTTAGCCCTCTTTTAACTTTGAAATCAATTAGCTGTCACATACTATACAATTTTAACAAGGACAAGACTTTCTATCCTATTAAAACAGGCATATTCTATTATGAAAAGTTATGATTTCATATCTTTGATTAGAGTCACCATCAAGATCTTTATCCTAAGACAGATACATGAGATACAAAACTTCATTTAGGGTATTGCCATGTAGGCACACCCAAGTCTCTGACAGCTACATTAAGTTTATGCAATTATGGTCAATTCACAGACATTTTAAAAAGAAAGAGGGGCAGGAGAGATGGCTCAGAGGTTAAGAGCACTGATTGCTCTTCCAGAGGTCCTGAGTTCAATTCTCAGCAACCATATGGTGACTTACAACCATCTATAATAGGATCTGATGCCCTCTTCTGGTGTGTCTGAAAAAATCTACAGTGTACTCATATAAATAAATACATCTTTAAAAAAAAAAAGAAAAAAGAAAGAAAGAAAAAGAATCATGAGGTGAGAGAAATGGCCCAGTGGTTAGGAACATTGCCTGCTCTTCCAGAGGACCTGGGTTCAACTCCCAGCACCCACAGGGCCACTCACAACCATTTTTAACTCCAGTTCCAGGAGATCTGATAACCTACATAGACATATATGCAGGCAAAACACGAATGCACATGGAATAAAAATACATAAATTAAAAAAAAAAAGGAATCTTTAGTTTACTACACAGAGAATGCGTAAGGGTCTGATCAAATATTGCATCATATGGATTGACAGAACTAAATGTTTATCCCGAAGAATAATCATAAACAAAGATTGTAAGTAAGATAGTAACACTAATTACATTAAAAAAAAAAAAGCCGACTTCTATAGTGTCAACCGAGGTTCCAAATATACCAGAGATAGAAAAGTCAAAGAAGAAAGAATATTAGAAAGCCAAACACCTTACAATGTAATAGAAGTTAACCCATGTTTAGTAGTTACACACATGGTGGAATACAGAAATATGAGATGACTGACTTGAGAGCCCAAGGCTTTATACCTGAAAGCTGTGGGCTTTTATTGCCCAATGAGCTGCTGCGACTAGACTTGCTGCCTTTGCTTTTAGTAGGTCTCCTTCTTCTCCCTGACAGAGGAGCAGCTGGGGGAATAATAACAGCAGGGGGAACCTTGCCCAGTTTAGTATACAAAGATTCAATCTCATGCTTCTGGCGACTCTGCAGGTCCTGAATCTCTTTAAGATGTCTACAAAAGATAACCAAACATAGATAATTATATAACCATCACTGCTGAAGTAAGAGTTAAAACATATTCTTAAATCTGCATTCAAGTGTTCAGCATGCTACAGAAAAAAGGGGTAGGTAAAAATGCTACTGTGATCCAAGTGATAATTAGCAAAACTGATTACAATTACATATTGTAGTGCTATTATTAGATTCATGTTATAGACTAGCAAACAACCAAGAGTTGTTAGTTATAGCCGGGCAGTAGTGGCGCATGCCTTTAATGCCAGCACTTGGAAGGCAGAGGCGTGTGGATTTCTGAGTTCAAGGCCAGCCTGGTCTACAGAGTGAGTTCCAGGACAGCCAGGGCTATACAGAGAAACCCTGTCTTGACAGACAGACACAGACACAGACACAGACACAGACACACACACACAGAGTTGTTAGTTATTAACAGAGCTAGAGAGATGGTTCAGCAGTTAAGAGCACATTCTATTCTTGTAGAGGACCTGGGTTCAGTTGGCAGCACCCACATCACAGCCAACAACCATCTGTAGCTCTACATCAGAGAATAATATTGTCTTTTGTCCTCCACGGGCACCAGGCATGCACATGATGCATATACATATATGCAGGCAAAACACTTATACATATAAACAACTTTCTTTAAAGGTGCCATAATCAATAATAATTTAATAATATAGAAGTGTTGAAGAGATTCCAAAAGGAGAAATGCCATGGGTGCTGATGAGTAGAGGACAACCCCATGAATGATGTATCTGGTAATTTTAGCTTTTGTGTATCACTTTCTGTTCAAAAGGGATGTGAAATTGGCATCTGTCTTAAAAAGCTATTAATACCAGGTGAGATATTAACACTATTTTACATGAAAAAAATTACTTACTTTTCTCGTAGTCGTCGCAGTTCTAACCTTAAGTCTTCATCTTCAATGTCGGACTCATTGTCACTACTCATGTAAGAGGAGTTGAATGAATTACTAAGGCTTTGACTTAGATTCTGGATGGGAAGGCTCTTTGAACACAGGTGAGGGGGAGAGTGTGGACTACCTGAGCCATCCTCTGTACCCCTACTTAGAAAGCCAGCCTCCAGGTCTGAAGATGGCCCATTCAGATGGGAAGGTTCTGTCAGCTCAGGCTTCTCCTTCTTTGGTATCACAGCAGGAATAACAGTTTGTTCTGAATCTCTGAAAGGAGGAGAGGTCACTGGCCCCTCTTTTTTGAGCTCTGTGACCTTGTCTTCAGTTCTTGAAACAGAGAAACGACCCACTTTGCTGGCTGTAGTTGTCACCTGAAAACGTCCAACCTTGGTAGGCTGCCCTGCTTCTGACTTTGCTTCTGGGGTAGGTGTTTTGTGGGTGCTGTCTGGCACATCTAAGGAGATGCCAGAAATAGTAATTCCATTAGGCTCTGGCTTTACCAGGGTACTCTCTGGACTACTACTTGAAAGAACTGATGATTCTGATGTGCTAGATTCAAAATGAACCGACTTTGTATCTTCTGACCTATTTTTACGCTCTTTCTGGGCATCATCCACTGTAACTGAAACCTGGTGGAAAAAAAAAAAAGAATGAAGTTAAAAAATTAAAAAATGATGTCCCTGGCTGGGGTGGTGGTGCACACCTTTAATCCTAGCATTCCAGAGGTAGAGGCAGGCAGATCTCCTTAAAGTTTAAGTCCAATGTGGCCTATATAGAAAGTTCCAAGCCAGCCAAGGCTATTCATAATGAAACTTTTCTCAAAAACAAAATGAACAAACAACAAAAACAAAAACCCCAAAGCCAAAGAAACGAAAGTGAGAGAGAGAGAGAGGAAGAAGAAGAAGAAGAAGAAGAAGGAGGGAGGGAGGGAGGGAGGGAGGGAGGAAGGGAGGGAAGGAGGGAGGGAGGGAGGGAGAGAAGGCCGAAGCCGATCTTCCATTTTTAGCATGGACAAGTAGAAAAATCTGCTGGTGATGTAGCCCAGTTACCCAAATGCTTGCTTAGTATGAATGAGGCCCTTGGGAGAAATCTTCAGGACTAAGTAAACCAGGGATGGCGGTGCATGCCTGTAATCCCAGCACACTTTGGAGGTGGTATCAGGATGATCAGAAAGAAATTCAAAACCATCCTCATATATATAGTCTAAGCTGGAAAGCTTAGCTTAAAGAGGGGAAGGAGGCCAGGAGGGGCAGGGGATGAAGGAGAAAGGAGGATCAATTTATTTTCCAGTGAACTTGTGGAATTTCTTCTCTCAGTCTCTTTGATCATTGTGAAGTAAAGTGGACACCTATTACAGAGAACATTACATCAGTACTGAGATGTATAGTCTCAGTGGTTGCTGACTATATGATTCATTTTTACCTCTCATGTGACATTACACAAATTCATGTCTCAGTCAAATTACAAATAATAGGATATAGGATCTTGAATGTTTCTTATGAATAGATTATAGCCAACAAATTTCACATGCTAGAATCAATAGTAAGATCATCCATGCCATGGCTTGTTCATCACATAAACCCAGTCTATTCTAAACTCTTAGAACTTCTGTGAATAATTAAAAAAAAAATCACCTATCATGTCCAACTCCAAGGACTATCCCCAAAAATAATTAAAGTGGTTGTTAAAATGGTTTTATATGTAGTCAGGGCCAAATTTTCTCACTGGCTGGGAACAGTTGGGAAGTAGGATGTTGTATCACTTGAGGCTGACTTCACTTGAGGGCTGAATCCTAAGAAAATTATCCTAAATATGGAAGGTACTTTTAGATGTTTGCTATTACTTTCCTTAGTGTGTTGGAAAACTACAATAACAAGGAACAAAAGAATGTCTATGTAAACCAAATGGCTACTGGAAAAAGGGATCTAGAAAAGATCGTATAGAGAAGCTGTAGCCAGCTATTAAGGGGTAGGTCAAAGAAAATACAAACTTGCATTTTCTTTAATTAGTAGTAATGGTTTGTGAGAGGTAAACAAAAGAGCTATAAAATGGTATATAAAATACATCACTAGATTCATAATTATGTCCCAAATATATATATATATATACACACACACACACATATACATACATATATGTATATATTGTGTATATATACACATATTGTATATATATACATATTGTATATATGTATATATATACGCAATATATATATACATATATGTATATGTATGTATGTATGTATATATATATATATATATTTTTTTTTTTTTTCTCTTTTTGGTGGAGATTGAATTGAGGGTCTTGAATATGCTACTTAAGTATCCTAGTACTGAGTATAGTATATCCTAGTCTTCTTTTTACTTTTTATTTTAAGAAAAGATCTTACTAAGTTAAAAGTCTTGAACTTACTCTGTAATCCCAGGGATGCTCTGGACTGATGGCCCTCCTGCTCAAGTTCTCAACCAAGTATCTAGAATCATGGCCCATGCCACCAAGTTTGGCTGGTCATTTTTTATTGTATACCCTGTCCCCCCCAAAAGAGGCAAAGAAAATGATCATCTTACCTGAAATCGCCCCATCTTAACAACACCAGCTCCTGAACTAGTTGCTGTGACATGACCTTCTGTGCCTTGAGAGACAGAAACAAGAAACAGGAAGACAAAAGCAAATTAACATCTCTTTTTAGGTTTTTGTTTACTTGTTTGTTTTTTGTTTTTTTTTCAATTTCACCAGTAATGTGACATTAAAGATTCCTTTCCTACCCTTAGACAACAAACTTATCTTTCTGTGTCAGTTTCCCAAGTATGTACAAAATTACAAGTGTGCAATCATTTACACAACATTGTTTTTAAATGTTTCATTATTGCTATGGTTTTTTTGTGACCTGCGTATGTGAGCATGCTTGCATGTACAACAACACGTGGCAGAGGACAACTTTCAGGACTTAGTTCTCTACACAGGGCAGATCCTGGTACCAGAAAGAAGGCTGCCAGGCGTGTGTGGCATTAAACCTTGAGCCGAATCACTAGGCAACACCAGTTTTTTGTCTTTAAACACACACACACATGTACACACAAAGAAAATTACATTTATTTATTTTGTATGTGTACATGTGTGCACACTTGTGTTCTCCAGAATGTGTGTGGAGGTCAGGATGTCAACTTGTGGCAGTTGGTTCCCTTTTCTGAGCTTGTGAGTCTTAAACTCAAGTTGACAGGCTTAGCTTCTGCCTATGCAACCATCACCTTGTCTGAGAAATAGTCTTTTTTAGATCTACACACTACAACTTTGATAGATACTAACCCAATTGCCAGAGGCTTTTTCCATGAGGCTGAGAAATCCAACAGCTTATAACTTTGTTTTATATTTTTGTTATTATGTATTTTCATAGTGCATGCCTTTAATCCCAGCACTTGGGAGACAGAAGCAGGTAGATTTCAGCTCAAGGCCAGCGTGGTCCATAGACCAAGTTACAGGGATGTACAGAGAAACCCTGTCTCAATAACCCCCTTAAAAAAAAAAAACTTTCCTTTTTTTCTTTTTTTTTTTTTTAAATTTTAGTCTAAAAGACTACTACTGCCTACTCTGGGTTGTGCACCAAACTTATTAGTAACCTGTTTCACTGTATTAGTATAATCTGCGACTAGTGGGACAAATTTTGGTTTTGACCATTTTTAGAAATACATTTATTTTGCACACATCCACACTCATCCACTTACTATTAATAGTTGCTGGAAGTCTAGGTATAACAGAAGACTTAACAGAGACTGTGTGACTTTAAAAGCCATAATCTCAGCATCTGGCCTTTACAAAAAAGTTTGAGTCGGGCATGGTAGCACACATCAACAATTCTAATACTCAGAATGTAAAGCATGAGAATCAGGAGTTCAAGGTAATCTTTAGCTACACAGTAAGTTGCAGGGTACATGGGACCCTTTCTAAAAAACAAAAACAAAAAAACAAAACAAAAAACAAACAAAAAGCCCCAAATGGTCCTAGCCTCTGCTCTAGATATTTGGGGGTGGGAGGGGAGGGGGAGAAGATAAATATTATGCTTAATTAGTTCAGGAGGCTTTATTATTTTTAGTGTGCCTTAACTATATAAAAAAATAGGCTTACGGTACTTTTTTTTTTTTTTTTTGTGGTTTTTCGAGACAGGGTTTCTCTGTGTAGTCCTGGCTGTCCTGGAACTCACTCTGTAGACCAGGCTAGCCTCGAACTCAGAAATCCGCCTGCCTCTGCCTCCCAAGTGCTGGGATTAAAGGTGTGTGCCACCACCACCCGGCTCTTATGGTACTTTCATACATATAATTTTATCATTTTTACAATATTTTATGATGTTTCATCTGTGATTTATTTAGAATTTTACCTTGGTCTAAACTACTGTTCATCTTGGCATTATACAGATGACTACATAGTTGACCAAACCATTTATCAAAATTTCCTATTTTGCCATGTGTGATACTGCACACCTTTAATCCCTAGCAGTGGAGGCAGAGGCAGGAGGATCTCTGTGAGTTGAGGCCAGCTTTGTCTACATAGTGAGTTCCAGGATAGTCAGGGCTATGTAGAGACCCTGTCTCCAACAAACAAACTTTACTGGTTTAAAAAGCCATCTTTTCAGATTTTACACACTTCCCTTCACTGTTTTGTTTCTTAGACAAGGTCTGACACTGTATCCAATACTGGCTTGCAACTCATGGCAATCCTCCTGCCTTAGTTCTGAGTTCTGGGATTAGACCTAGTACTTGTATTTCTTTTATTTGGCACACCCTGTCATTCTCACACCCCTAAGTGATGTAGTCTGAACCCAGGGATTTGTGCCTGTAGATTTTATTCCCAGCCCAGAAGTAAATATCAGTTTTTATTGTATATATTCAATGCTATCTAAAATACATCGGAAATCTATACTTGGTTCATTTCTAGACTTTTCTATACTGTTGTATTCATTTCTACTGTTTCTAATGAGAGCCAATTCAGAAGGTAATTGCTTTGAAAATAAAAATTATAATGTCTAAACTGATAAATACCTTAAATTTTTACCAATAAACAAATGTTATGTCTAGGCTTTTCCAGATAAACTATACTTCTATATAGTCAGTGCTACAAATCTTAATAGTTACCTGTAAATTGACTACTCTTAGCTATACACTTGAGACAGTGTATAGCTAGCTACGTAGCTAAGCTTGCTTTAGCTCTGTTTCTCAGTCTGCTCTTCCACTCAAAATTATCTTGCCTCTGCTGGGGCACATCACCACACCTGGGCTTGTAAATTACTTTTTATAATAACAAAGAATCTCATTTTATAAAACCACACAATGCTCATTACATGTACCTCTTCACCCCAATATAATCATTCAAGATTCATTAGTCTACCAATATTTCCTACTTTAGAAATTAGTTTGCAATGTTCTTCGGTCATGAAACCATATAAATATTCTTATATGTAAGTCAAAAGTGCAACAATGTGTCTTTTAAGTAGTAAACTGTATTATCATTTACAGGTAGAACTGGGTTCAATAAAACAAAAGGAAAAGGAGGCATCTCACCATCCTTTTGAAGCTGAGTTCCTGCTTCTGTAACTGCTGTTGAAGACACCGTAGACAAAGGCTGCAAAACACATACACACAGATACCACAGAATCTTCAGTTTTAATCATTCTGACAAGTTTTGTTTTGTAACCTTTCCTCTCATCTATGTAAAATGGGAGAAAGATAGTATATATGAAGAAATACTGTTTCCCCCCCCCTCTCCTTTTTTCTTTTACAACCTAAAGGTTTGATATAGAAAGGCAGCTTTTAGGAAAAAACACTGAACCTTAACTCTCTACTGTTCTCTTAGTTTTTTTAAAAAAGATTTCATTTGTTGTATGCATATGAGTACACTGTAGCTGTCTTCAGACACACCAGAAGGCATCCCATTACAGATGGTTGTCAGCCACCATGTGGCTGGGAATTAAACTCAGGACCTTTGGAAGAGCAGTCAGTGCTCTTAACCCCCGAGGAATCTCTTTGGCCCCGTTCTCTTAGTTTTCACACACACAAAAAAATTAAAATTATTTTTATTTATGTATATGTGTACAGGTGCCAGGAGGGAACAGAAAACTGCATTAGATTCCCTGAAGGTTGAATTACAAGTAGCTGTGAGCTACTAGAGTAGGGGTGCCGGGAACTGAACTCTGGTCTTCTCCAAGAGCAGCAAATGTACTTGATTGCTAAGCCATCTTTCCAGTGCCTCTCACAAGATATTTAAACAGTATAGTTTAGATATTTATTGGGGAAAAAAAATTTTTTTTGAAGCAGAGTTTCTCTGTGTAGCCCTGGCTATCTTGGAATTTGCTCTGGAGACCAGGCTGGCCTTGAATTCAGGAATCCACCTGCCTCTAGCTTGTGAGTGCTAGGATTTAAAGGCTTGTGTGCCATCACTGCCTGGCTGTAAATTAGATTTTTTTGTTCTTGTCAAGACAGTTTCTCTGTGTACCCTTGGTCCTGAAACTTGCTCTGTAGACCAGGCTGGCCTTGAACTCACAGAGATAGGCGTGGACCACCACTGGCTGGACGGTAGTTTTAATAAAAATATTTTCACAGGGGTTTAACCTCTTCCAAAGCACAAAATTGATAACCTTGAGCTACAATATAATTTGCTGAGATGTAAATAAATAAAACACAACAAAAGCATCTGTGTGATTTTGTTGACAAGGACTCTGAATAGGAATTAAGGAAATAATCATCTAGATTATAGTTTGTGCTAGAAAACAATTTGAAGAGGGTTTTTTCTCCTTCTGTTTTTTAAATCACAGCTTTAAAAACTTACACCAACTGCAGATGTCACTGTAATAGTCTCTGGACTAAGTGTTCTTCTCAACTGAGCATCAAGATCTTCTAGTGGTTGCTGGGACTAAGCAAAAAGAAAACAGTTACTTACAGTACTGTAAGTTGTTTAGCACCTTCAGAGTCACTATATATAACTAATTTATATAGAATACATCATTTGATGCTATAGATCACAACAACATTTGTTGAATACTGAATATGAAATCAGTGTAATGTAGTAATATCATCTATCACGTTGTCAGTCAATCCTTAGGAAATTCAAGTACATTTATGCTTTTGTAGTTTCAGAATCATTTTATCTTCTATGTTTAATGTTAGTGATTTTACTGTTTTCTATATGAAAATACATCCTGGAAAGTCTATCAGAATCTACTGGTAGATTATACATCCACTTTCTTTTTCTTTTTTTCTTTTCTCTTGAGACAGGGTTTCTCTGTGTAGTCCTGGCTGTCCTGGAACTCACTCTGTAGACCAGGCTGGCCTCGAACTCAGAAATCCGCCTGCCTCTGCCTCCCAAGTGCTGGGATTAAAGGCGTGTGCCACCACTGCCTGGCTTTGCTTCAGCTCTTAAGATGTGTACTTTCTTTTGTTCATTAACAGCATCAAGGAGGTTCTATGTACCACTAGTGTACATCTCAAGTACCTTATTACACTCTAATCCTGCTTCTAACCTTGTTTTTCTTTTCTGTAAGCTGGTTTTTATCCAGTAACTTCTCATTACACTTTTACCTTCCCTCAAAAACCTAGAGGCTGACTTGTGTCTTGCTATGCTTCCCAAGTTAGTTTCAAATTTCTGGGTTCAAGTGATACTCCCACAACATGGTGCCAGGCCTCTGGAAACATATTTCCAAGAACCAGGCTAAAAGAATACATTCCTAATTATAAGAGTTATCATTACACATCCTTTTCTCCTCAACTTTTTATGGTTTGGCTAGTAGAGTGTATTTTTCTGTTAGAGTTAAGACTCCTTATCTTATCATGTTCTACTGAAAATCAGGATCAAATAAGTAAGGATAAATGCATACTGGGCTTTTCATGTTCAATTTGTCATGCTTTTCCAAACATAATTTAAAAATGAATTACAAATATCATTTCAAATTTATTTGCTGTTTCATGTCAGAAGCTGTTTAATATTTACAATGGATTCAGAACTGCTTTCTTGAAGAGAATGCAATTAAATGTATTGGTAATAGTAGTAGGAAAAGTAAATAGTAACTTAAATGTTATAAGTATGACCATGCTGTATTTCAACTATTTCACTAATGAAAAAAAAAATGGTAAAACACATAAGGAAAAGCTTGTAAGCCCCCAAGGAAAGCTGTACCAGTTACTCATGAGGTTTCCACCTTTCTCCCTCTGGGAATGGTCTTGCTATATAGGCTACAACCTACTTTTTTTTTTTTTTTTAAAACTTTCATAGTCATCTTATTTGTGTGTGCCTGTGGTGCTGTGGTGGGCAGCACTTACATACATTGTGTGTGTGGAAGCTTGAGGTTATTATCAAGTATTTTCTTTGATTGCTTTCCACCTTATATATTGAGGTAGGGTGTCTCATTGGAATCCAGAGCTCATCATTTAACTACTATAGCTAGACACAGTTTATTATTTACTTATTTGTTTGAGGCAGGGTCTCACTATATAGCTCTGGATGGCCTGAAACTAACAGACCTACTTGAACATTAAAGGTATGTGCCACCATAGCAGGCCTGTCAAATATAGTTTAAAAGAATGCTATTACTAATTCATAGCCAAAATGAGCTGGAAGCCAAAATAAATAACGCAATGGTGAATTTACACAAACTTGGTGAAGAAAAGCAGGGGAATAGAAAATAATTTGTTAAGTTAGTGGTACCTGAATTAGAGAAGGTCCAGGAAAAGGTGGCAGCTGCTCACAGGGTACAGTACCAGCTGAAAGTTCAGGACCCACTGGTGGCACCTATAATAATGAAGGAAAATTCAAATGCATGAGCTACCATTGGTAAAAAATATTTACTAAGAAGAAAATTAATTTGAAAGCTGAAGAATGACACTAGAATGTGTCTACTTATGGCATACTTCTATCATTTACGTTACACTCTTTAGTCTGTCTTAAAGGACAACATATCCAAAGATACTATTATGACAGTTACAATGAGACAACTATGAAACAAACAATAAAATACAATGAAAGAGGGCATCAGATCCCATTACAGATGGCTATGAGCCAACATGTGGTTGTTGAGAATTGAACTCAGGACCTCTAGAAGGTTAACCGCTGAGCCATCTCTCCAGCCCAAGTTCAACTTTTTATTAACTCCAAATTTTATGGAATCTACAATAAGGAATATTCATTTTCAACTAAAGATGATAAATTATTCCCTTGTAGGTAGATAAATTTAGTTCCCTTTTGGGATATAGAATTCTTTAATATCTATGAATCCAGTAGAAAAACCTTTCCTTCTTTTCAATAGAGACTTATATTGTTAAACTACTTATATCTATCTATGTATGTCTTTGTGGGGGTATGAGCATTCTGAATGCAGATGCCTGCAGAACCAGAAGAGGTCAGATTCCTATAGGTGTGGTTATTAGTCTCCTACACATGGGTTCTGGGAAACAAATACGGGTTCTCTGAAAGAGAAGTATGTGCTCTTAAATGCTGAGCCCTTGTTTTCTTTTCTTTTTTCTTTTCTCTTCTTCCTTCCTTCCTTTTCTCTTTCCTTCCTCCCTTCCTTTCTTTTCTTTCTTTTCTCTCTTCTTTTCCTTTCTTTCTTTCCTTTTTCTTTCTTTCTTTCTCTCTCTCTTTCTTTCTTCTTTCTTTTTCTCTCTTTCTCTCTTTCTCTCTCTCTCTTTCCTTCCTTCCTTCCTTCCTTCCTTCCTTCCTTCCTTCCTTCCTTCCTTTCTTTCTTTCTTGAGACAAAGCCTCATTCTATAGTCAAGGCTGGCCTTGAACTCATTGTAGTGCCCAGGCTCTCCTGGAACTTGCAACTCTACCTTCTGTCTTCAAGTGCTGGAGTAATAGACATGAAGCATAGGACCCAGGGGAAAACCTGTATTTTGTTTGACTATTATTTATTTTACCTGATAATTCTACACTCTAAGAAAATTACTCAACATAACCTAAAAATCTAGCCACATTTCAAACAAAGAGAACATTCTTGTGTTAACTGTACTTATATCCTAAAACTGTTGTCACTTTAAGACTGAATGATGAGTTTATATACCAAGAACCTTCATGACTTGGAAGACTCAAATGAAAACATGTAATTACTGAGGGATGGGGAGGAAAGGAAAGTAGTCATATTTATTTAGTCATTTTATGATGAATCTTACCACAGTCTTAGTTAAAGATGCCTTTGGGGGAGTTGTTCCAGGTTTTGCTCCTGTTGCAGTGCTGACAGGGGCTGAAGCATGTGTGCCTGGGGTAGAAACCTGCCCAGGTGTGCCCACTGGCATAACTGGCGTGCCAGCTGCTCCTAATGGTAAATTGGTTGGTGGCAAGCAAGTACTTGTAGTGGAAGTCATGAGTTTACTTGGTGCTACAGCAGTGGTAGGGATGCCCGGTGTGGCAGTCGTCTCTACTACTAAAGGTGTCTCTAGGGAGACAGAAGCATGCTGAGTTCCAGATGAGCTGTGTTCACTAAAGAGAGATCTCAGCTTTTCCTCCAGAGTCTTTATATCATCGATCCCAGGAGCTTTGGATTGGTTATCAGCGTCCATTTCAGGACAGTGTGTGTGAGGCTGGTTGGGAAGCAAAGCTGGTTGAGGCTGACTATGAACGAGTGTTTGCTGTACAGCAGGCACATTAGCAACAGGTTGTACCAAGGGTGGAATATTAGGTACTTGGGGTAATAAAGGTGTAGAAGTAGGTACTGCTGGTTGGGGGAGGACAGGTGTAGAAGCTATAGCTGATGGGATGACCAAAGCATGAACCATACCAGGCTGAGAAACAGAACTAGACACTGCTGTTCCAGAGGAGGAAGAAGAGGACGGTGCACAAAAGGACAAACCCAATCCTGCTGTACTACTGTGAGATGCCTTGTCTAGTGAGTGTGCACTAACCACCACTGTTTCAGCTAGAGTAGGAGCAGAGGTGCTGCTACTGAGTGGAAGGGATGGCTGTGAAGCCGTGCCTGGGAATGGAGTGGTAGTAGAGACTGATGTCATTATGGCTACCCCAGCAGTATTACCTGCTACCTGTTGCAGTGATACAGTTGGAGGCTTAGAATTTGGGGCCACCACACTACCCACTGTAGTAGCTGTAGTTGTGGAAAATGTTCCAGAAGGAAAACTGCCTGTACTAGAAGCAATGCTCCCAGATATGGAAGCCTGAACTGGCTGGGATGTTGTAGACACAGTGACAACTGCAGGTACTGCAGAACTTGAAACTGCACTGGAAGGTGTTGGTGACTCAGACACAGACAATGTGGTAAGACCACCTGAAGCTACCACACCTGTGCTGGTGGTAACTCCTGCAACGACTTTTTCAGTGGGCAGTGCAGCCTCAGACTGCATCACTGATGTGGAAATGTCATTAAGGGGGCTGCTTGTTATAGGGACTGGTACTGATGGTGTGGATGCTGCTACAGTTTGGACACCAGCAATGCTAGCCAAAAAGGGAGAAAATGTTGGTCCTGTGTGATTAAAATTTGGAGGTGCTGTATTGGGTCCTTCAGTAATCTGACCATGTTTCAGTTCAGAAAAGGCCTGCTGGAGACTGAGTGATGAAGCAGAGTGAGATAAGTTCATTCCAGGGCCCTGAGATGTAGAGGCCACAACTAGAAAGGAAAACAAAAATAAAAACAGTAAAGTAGTAGTATGACCTAGTAAGGCAGCTTATGAGTACATAATCTTAAAAACCATCAAACATAAGACTAACCTGAAAACAAAAAACTTATCTCTAAATATAGAAACACACTACTGTTAGCACACCTGGTCCTTTATGGTCTGCTGTCTTTCTTCCTTTTTTTTTTTTCTTTCTTTTTTCTTTTTGAAGACAAGAGTGTAACATAGCCACCCAGGCTGACCTCAAACTCCTGATCACCCCCCTTCTCTGTCTCCTGAACAATGAAATCATATGCATGTGTCATGTCCAACTCTAAATTTTATTTCAACACTCTCTATTATAATTTATTTCCCTCTTCTGTGTTACTTTATTATTACTTTTAATTTTCTACTTTTTATTTGATCATGAATTATAGCTTGATCAAGCTCCTACCATATCACGGATGCTGTAAGATTTATTAAAGCATGGCTGAATCATTCTTACCTGGATCTGATATTTCACTGGTGAAAACTTTTGATTCTCGTAACCTACTTTCTGGTACAGGACTCACTATAAACCGTCTTCCAGCAGAATGAACAACTTGTGTTAAAGAACTGGTAGGAACACCTGAACAAAACAAATCATTGAAATTCATATATATTTTATATATGAATAAAGCCTGGAGATTTCATTATTGGCACATACAACTCCTTGTCAAATAAAGAAAAGCTTACCTATTTGTTGTGGCATGGAAGATACAGCAATTGGTTGCTTGAACTCTCCTTCTAATTTCTACAATAAGCAAAAGTAAAACTCTTCTCAAATGCAACCTCCATGATTATGTAAAGCAAATTGTCACATTTGATGAGAACATAAACTTTCATTCTCAGTCACAAGGGTAATATTTTATCAGTGGATATTCTGCTTGGCAGATTAAGCACTAGACAACTATCTTAGATAAACAGAACTAACTATAGTATGGTGAACTTACCTGAGAACCTGCAAAGCCATAGTCATCTTTTCCTTGCAGACTCTCCAATCCCTGGTCACCCTCAGGCTCCACACTGACATCCTCACTTAACATTTCATCAGCTTTCTCAATAATTTCCCGCACCTGAGCCACAAAAGACTCTCTCTCTATTGCTAGAATGAAGTCATTGTTCACCTATAAGAAACAGGGTATCAATCTTATTAGTACATTTTTAAGCGTTACTATTCAATTCATTCAATTACTATTTCATCTTTATGACTTCAATCTATACATCAGCTGTACTATGTACTTGGTATTTAAAATACTTTCCTGAGTACATACACAGCTACATCTTAGACAAAAGCTGCCTCTAAATCATAGAATCAGGGGTTGGACATGCTAGTTTTAAAACAGGAATTATAATCTATTGTCAAAATGAAAGTGAATGACAAAATACTGCATGGTTACCGAGGACATGTACTTAAAACTAAATACTATGGGAAAATGTGGAATTCCAAATGGAGACATACCATAATTGTTGCTATCTCTTCAGGGTTGTCACCATCTAGGTCAAATTTAAATGTAACCATTTTCCGATTATGAGTCTCCAACTGACATTCTACTACTCGGTCTCCTTTATTTGAAACCTAAAAGAGAAAGGTAATTCATATTCTGATTTATTACTGAATTTGAAATGTCATCTTAAAATTGAGAGAGAGAGAGAGAGAATGTGTGTGTGTGTGTGTGTGTGTGTGTGTGTGTGTGTGTGTGTGTGTGT